CCCCCCCCCCCCAGGTTTTCCATGTCCTTTTAAAGACTAATACAGGGTCTTTCCAGGACTGTTTCTGTCCCAAATTAGTTTTTTACAGGTAGGCACACACTGCAGAGTTTTGAAACTTTTTTTTAAACAAAAACCTTTTCCATGGGAGCCTGCCAAAAATGATTGCTCCAAACTCACCGTGGCTGAACCAAACGAATCCATTTGTTACAATGGGGCAGTTTAAACAACAGTGGTTTGGGCTCCCAGCCTAAGCCAACACTCATTCGCTTGCTGGTTGGTATCCAAGCAATTAAGCAATGCCACAATGTTGTAACTGTGCTGTGGTTGGGGATTTAAAAAGAAGTGGCGTGTGAGTGAGAGCAAGAGGAGATTCTTCTCCCTTTTTTTTCTGGAAACATCATCGGCATGGTATCACCAGTGAACGCAAAACGCCTTTTTATCAAATCAAGCCATCTAATCCCACCCCATCTGCCCCACCTGGCAGCAGATGCCCAAAATCTTGGCCAGAGAAAAACTGCCCCATCAGGGACTTCTCCATCCTTTTCAGTGGAGATAGCAAGGATCAAACCCAGGACTTCTGGCCTCACATCCTATGAAACGTTTGGTCCACCCTGGTCCACTGTCTTGACTTGGAGGGGCAAGCCCATCTGAGCAGAGACTTTTTTTAGTGTCAACAGCCAAAACTGGATGCCCGTAGGTGGAAGAATTCACATGCTAACTTTCCTACAAGGAATTCTAGACAAATTCCAGCATCTCATTCTACTCCGACTGCATCTTTTTCCTGTGAAACTCTGCAGATGTTTCTACCACACACACACACACACACACACACACACAGAGCCTCTTCTTTATAGCCTATTGTGCTCTCCTTCTCATTACCAGCTAAGCAGGAAAGGAAAGCGAAAGAAAACGGAAGAGTTGAAGAATCAGACGAAGCCATCAACCGGTGCCATTTAGAGCTGCTAAGACAAGGTCTATCTGTCATGATGGCGTGGCTGGTCCTCAGTTTTTTCCTTGAGAGAGGAACAACACATCAAAACGAGAAGGTACGAGGCCAGAGCAAAGTAGAAAAACTTGTGAAGATCAGCACAGAGGCTATGACCTTTCTTAGCATAAAAGATGAAAACGGGGTTCAAAATGTCATGTCCCAAACTCGTTGGCCAGTGAAGGGGGAAATTCCCCTCTGTGCCTTTCTACCTTTCCTCCTTTCTGAGAAGGTCCATCGTGTGCAGGCGAATGGGAGGGTGGGTGTTCACTTGTAGAATATGTTCTAATAAAATAGTTAGAAAGTGACCGGTTGTGTTCCTGCCTGTTTGATGGAACCTTCCCCATCAAACGTTTTGACACGGTATAGAAGATCTATATGTTTTCTAAAGGGAGGCCAGGGTAAAGGGCTTTCAACTTTGCAAATAACCCCAGAGAACTATGTCAGAAGTTTAGAAGCCTCTGAGAACAGCAGGGGTTTAGCTATCCCATCCAAATCAACTGTGCATTTGGACCAAGGTGCAAAATGACCTTTTCATGTGGTTGTTTGCAGGGCGGCTGGTTCGACACTGCTCAACGCGCTCTTTGATCTTCAACGGGGCACCTCTTGCACGTCCTGCTACGTGTAAAATGAACATCAACAGCTAATTCTGCTTTTTTTCCCTGGCGGGGCTGAGACAAAAAGAGACAAGGCTGGTCCCTCTTTATTATAATTTAGGAGAGGGGAGATTAAAACATTTCTTTTTATCCTGTTTTTTTTAGAGCTTTGCTTTTTATGCTGCTGTGATTTTTTGTTTTTATTGACATCTGGTTGGATTTACCAGAGACAAATCATTTTAAGCCAGCTAGAGGCCCAGATAGGAATGGGTAACATGTAAAATTCCTTAACAAATAAACTAATATATACCACTCAATGGCCTATGTTAAAATGTTTATTTATGTTATTCTAATAGAAGAGAATATATGTAGCTCAGGGTTGAACTGTGGAGTCTTTGGTGCTCTCTGAGCTTGGTTGCTTGTTTGCAGACGTTTCATTACCCAACTAGGTAACATCATCAGTTCTAGCAGGTGTGGCGTTTGCTCCCTGTTTATATACAGTAGCTTGCCCCACAAAGCTACACCCCCAACAACACAGGCGGGCAAGCTACTGTATATAAACAGGGAGCAACTCACTAACGCTGATGACGTTACCTAGTTGGGCAATGAAACGTCTTCAAGCAAACCACCAAGCTCAGAGAGCACTAAAGACTCCACATTTCTGTTATTCTCATGGCCTCAAACTAGCATTTGTTGCACCCAGTCAGCTGCAAACCGTGCTAAACGTCGTAAGAATCATACATCTGAATTGTAAATACAAACTGAATTTTGAATACAAATTGAAAGGTCCTAGAACATCCCTTTAGCAAACTCTCGGTTCTTCTACCAGCTGGAGAAGAAACTGCAAAAGATTCCGACACAGCAAGGCCTTCCCTGTTTGAAATGCTTTCCATAAATCCTGAAGGGCCTGGGGCCACCTTGCAGTCTGTGGTTGGTTGGCGGAAGATACCTCTGCAGCCCCCGAAAGAGCAGTTCCTTACCCCAGATTTTGTCGCAAAGAGATATTTGTCCCTGAGCTGGAAGTCTTCGACCTCTTCCAGCAAAATCTCTTTATTTTCCCGGGTCTGGAAGAAATCTGTACTGCGGAGGACCGTCGAGGACAAGGTAGGTTCATGCCGCTCGATATAAATTGTATTTGGCTTGTCATACGGCTCAACACCCCTTAGTGACAAAAAAAAAGAAAAAAGAATTGGTGTATGAAAAAAAAGCGATGGGGCGATTCCTTCATTCAGACTCACCAAAAGGTCAACCCAAAAGGGTGCAAGCTTTTGAGTTTTCCAGAATTCTTCATCAGGGGATGGAGAAGAGCTGGGTCTCTTACTATCTCTTTCTCTCTCTCTACACACATATACAAACACACCACAACAGACTTCCCAACTGGGTGTGTCGTGTAACTTGGAGAATGTACCATCATGCAGCCATAGGCACTGACAGATTAGATCAGTGTTTCTCAACCTCAGCAACTTGATGTGTGGACTTCAACTCCCAGAATTCCCCAGCCAACCTCCTTTACCCCAGTAGGCTGCTTCCAACAGTGGTCAGCCAAATGCCCCAAGGACACAATTTTCCAATCTGGGAACCAGGGACCTCTGGCAGTCCATGCAGATACCACAAGCGAAGGGAGGGAGGGAAGGGGGGAGGGCGCAGCAAAATCAAAATAACCCTTTTTTAAAATCTTGGCCAAAATCTTGGGAGGTCGCTCAATCACACAAGATTGGGACATTTTCATTTGAAATCACCCCAGATTGGGCAACTCTGGGGCAAAGCTTTTGATGATAAGACATCTTGACTACATAAAGGCAAAGACTGGGATTCAAGAAGTTTGTATACAAAATCCAAAGGCAACTGCCCATTCTTAGGGGGTGTAAACTAATAAACCCTGAAATAAAGCTTTAATGTAGTCCATGACCTGATTCACCAGGAACTCTTTTCTTCATGGGGAAACATGCTCCAAAATCTGATACAGACACCCCACCCTGAGAGAGGCCATGGAAGGGAGGAGTCATTCATGTATTTCTTCATTGAACTGACGTCTACCCTACCTTTCATTCAGAAGGTCAAGGTGGCATAGAGTTCTCCTTCCTCCTATTTTGCCCCACAACATCCCTGTGAGGTGGGTTGGGCTGAGAGGGAGGGTCTGGCCCAAAGTCCCTCAGGGAGCTCCTGTGGCTCACCCTGCTCCTAGTCCAACATCTTCCCCACTACACCACACTGGCTCTCAACATCCTGCCCCCTCATGGAGAATGAAACATAACATTACAGGTAGTTCTCAGGTTACAACCATTCATTCAGCGACCAGTTACGATGGTGCTGAACGAATGGTACTTATAACGGGTCCTTGTAGTTATGGCCGTCGCAGCGTTGCTGAGGTCACGTCATTGCAATTCCTAACATTCCCTGCCGGCTTCCCACGAGCAAAGTCAATGGGGAAGTCAGCAGGAAGTCGGAAGTCACGATCAAGCGAGGTCCTCGCTTAACGATCCACGCGGTCCTCATTTAACAATGGCAACCATGACTGCTGGAATTGCCATTGCTAAGCAATGCGGTCGCATGGTGTTGCGCTTGATGACTGTGTCACTTAATGACGGCAATTCCAGTCCCAATTGCTGTTGTGAGCCGAGGACTACCTGTATTTGTTAATAATAATTAAGGAATTAAGGACTTAATTACAGGTTAAGGAGGGGAGTGAAATTGTGCAGGGGAATAAAGACTCCTTGGAGTCCCACAAATAAATTCCAGAACTCACCAAGCGAAAGACTTCACATGTTCATGAATCATAATCCAGGTTTGCCCAAAATCATCCGATTTCCAGAGCTGAAAAATGAGAAGGTGGCAACATATATTGAGATTCAAGATAAGGCAAGCTAAATTCAGAGAGCAGGATAACAATCCATCAGGGTTTATTCTTTGCCAACATCCAGGAGGCCACATCTCTGAATGGATCAGACCAAGAAACGTGGAATGTGTGGTTAGAGAAAGAGCTGAAACGCAAGAGCCAATCAGCCTCAAGAACCCCAAGGAGAGCTGTGATCTCCCTCTTCAAAGGCCTGAAAGGAAATCACACTGAAGAAGATCAAGACCGGTTGTCTTTTGTTCCAGAGTAGGATACCGAAAAATGGGTATCAATTTCAGTAAGGAAGATTCTGGTTGAACATTTCAGGAAAAGCTTCCTAGCGTTAACAGTAATTTAACAGTGGAACCAACGACACAAAGGATGCATGCCTTCAAGCAGAACTGCCTTGAGATGGTTCTCCTTTGATTCCTGCATCTGAGCAGTGGGTTCTACTTGATGGCCCCAAGAAAGACTTCCAATTTTAGCATTCTGTGATCCTAATGAAAATTCAGTTTTCTTCCCCAGTTCTACCCACTAATTTTGGAAATGCAGTCCTCCCCAAGGACCAAATATAACTCTTTGCCTGGGAAAAAAAATCGTGCACCATGCCTAAAGATTATGCAAGAGAAAGGGTGCCACCTGCATAAATTGCAGAGGTCCTGTCAAATTCTGCTGTTTGGAGCACAGAATCCCAATATTATTATTTGGTTCCGGTTATGCCTGGCAAAGCAGAGGAGAGCAGAAGAGGAAGAGAACAGACCTCCCTGGAATGTGAGTGGGAGAGCTGCCAAGCAGTGGCCCGCTTAATCATCATCACTTATCAAGCCAAGACTGGACATCCCTTTAACTGGGATGGTCTGAGGACTCCTCTCCTAGGCAGAGGTTGGACTAGAAGGCCTCTGGAAACTGAACCTGACTTGACAGCTAAAAAAGGTATTTGAGCAACAAGCACAACAGTGACTAAGTTGGGGGGACCAGAACTTAAACTAAGAAGGGACTCAGAAAGATGAGCTTGTATTGCTGAAAGTGACTACATTTATAAAGAAATGGAATGGGATCAGATTATAGGATGTGATGGGGGGAAGGGAAGGGAAGGGAAGGGAAGGGAAGGGAA